AAAAGTTTACTTAAAAGCTAAAATAAATTAAAATTTATAATTTGGTATTAAAAGTTATACTTCCACTTTGATAAAATATGTAACAAATTTAAAATGAAACAACATATTTGATTTAAAAAATTATGTATGTTATAAATTTACATTCATTTTCCCACTATTCGAATAAAAAATTACTTGTATATTATTATATTATTAAAGATAAGGATAGTATTGTCTTTTAGAATAAAAGGGGTATTGGTTATTTTGGAAGAATAAAAATTGACTTTTTTTTGTTCATTTAATGCTTGTGCACCAGTCCCCTGCACGCGGAAGATGTATGCTGATCCATCAAGAAAAATATTTATAAGTAATATTTTATGTGTGCTAAATATGGGGATCTATTTTTAAATATGTATTTTAAAAAGAAAAAATTTAAATTTTGAGTTCTTTGTAAACGTTTGTCGCGAGATATAAGATCTACTTCTATGTTATTTTGTTAGCATTAGTCCCATTTATATGTAATAATGAATGGACCTAGGTAATGAGTGATGGACACGTGGGTACACCCCCCTTCCTCATGCTAATTCTTCCCATCCTAACCTAACTTCACTTTATTCTCTATCCTAACCAAACTCCAAACCTAAGGTGAATTCCTGGTCAGGAAATTGCTCATGTTTTTATATATAGAAGATTCATATTTTCTGAATCTTTTAACATACCGGTTTTGATGGACCAAAATCCTTATCTAATCATTGATTGGTCTGGTTCTAATAGTGTAGCATTGGATAGGCATTCTCTCATGAAAATGGTGGAAGCATATCTTCTCCCTGTTTCAAGAAACTGTTTTTTCCATTCTCATTTTCTTGGCTATTTTCCAACAAGTCTTCCGTGTTTGATATATGTCTTCGAGTTCTGTTTGGATATGTTGTATGATGTTAGGGCTAGTTCTTCTAGGAATGCTTTTGGAAGTGGCATTTCATTGTTCATAAACTATGAATGTATGCAACATATGATCTAATAACTGTGTTTCTCAATCATGACTTCCTATTATTGTTCCATCTGTTGTGACGATTTTCGGTAACTGTTCCATTGATTCTGTTAGTCCCATATTCCCATTGCTTTCAATTGGGTCATGACCTGTTGGAACGATGGATGGAAAGGCTAAGAGTATACCCACAATTGGTGGGTTACATTCTCTCACCATGTTACTTTTTAACTTCGTTGCAGGCATGTTGTGTTATCAAGTGAGATTTATATCTTTTAGAAGGATCTCTTTGCTTGGTTACGGTGTAAACCTGATGTGTCCGTATTTGATAATGTGCAGGCAACTTTTGATTGCTTATTGAAGACATATGCTTTCCTCACGCCCGATTTCTGGATGGAGACGCGCTTCACTAGATCCCCATTCCAGGAGTTCACTGACTTTTTGGGGAAGCCCACAAAGGCCATCACTCTCGAAGATGTTGAAAAGGAGATCGTCACTTGATTCTGCCGCTTTATTTATGGAAGCAATTTAGGATATAAGGAGTTTTGGGCATTAGTCTTTTTGGGGTAAGCTAAATATCATATGGTACTGGACTTAAGACGTGCTTTATGTTACTTTTATTTGTTTTTGTTTCTATGAGAATTTTGTGGTCTACTTGTGGGACATACTCAACTAGAGAAATTTTATTTTATGCAGCTGTTTGGTAAGTTGGATTTCCTGTTTGGGGTTTTGTGTCATCGTTCTTTTTCTCTGGCTGCCAATTCTTTTGGTCCGTTTCTTCTTGTGTTTTTTTGCTTCCTTTAAGTCGTATTTTGGGTCTTAAACTTTATGGAATCTCCCAATAATTTGGCTATAGTCAAAGTGGCTCTCCTCCTGGATAGTTATAATTGGGATTTAGTATTGAGACCATTTACCTTTGTTATAACGAAGTCATGATTATTTTTGGCCATTAGATGTGTAATCTAATATATTAAAATGATACTATTTTAAAAAAATTATTTCGGACTTTCTACCCAATCAATGATACATTTCCAATCACTCAATTGTCAGTAATGATCGTGGCTAATCTTATGTGAAAAGTAAATGGTCTCATTTTATACATTTCGATATAATATAATGGATAAAAACAGGGTCGGGTTTTGGTAAGTCAGCTGACTCCCTATTCATGTGCTTTTTTCCCATATTCGTCCTAGATATGGTTCTACTTTGAATCTAAAAGTTGACATGTCAATGTTTACTCCAATTGATGATTTGAAACTTTGTTTTTGATCCTTCAGATTCATGATCTTGGTGGTCATGTTTATCAGCTTATAAAATTTTAAATCCGAAGACCATCTCCAAGATGGAATTTCAAAGGAGATTGCACTTAAACATGTGCTCACTAAAACATTTTCCTGAAAATTTTTATCTTATACCCATTTGCCCATGCTATATCCAAATGAGATTGTATACAATGTCACCATTTACTTTTGATAGAAGGTGGTTACAATTATTTACACCATTTACCTTTGATGGCTTGGATGTCACAAAGTCAAAAAAAAATTCTCTTGAAGTTTGAGCTAGGTTATTGGAATAATTGCAGGCATCCAATTGTCCATCCAATGGTTAAGATTAATGTGATCACCTTGTAGTAAAGGTAAATGAAATAATTGCAATCACCCAATTGCCCATCCAATGGTGAAGATTAATGTGATCACTTTGTAGCAAAGGTAAATGATCTTATTCTATACTTCTCATTCTAATTCTAAATTTATCAGACATCTTGAATTGGTTGTTTCACGATACCATTGGAAATAGGGACCATCATCAAATGAAGTAATTGGTGGGCATAACAATTTAATTGTTGTCTATCTCAACTGAAGAAAAAAAGATTGAACATTGTGTAACTCGCATTTACGATTTCAACCCTGCATTCTCTGCTGATTTTCCGCTGAGCAATCTCCTGTATAGTTCACTCTCTCCAACCGATGTAAAAATTCTGTCCGTGGATTATATTTTTTTGGGACATTTATCAAAACGAAAAAGTTTATATAAGGGTGAGGTCCTAAACAATCACATTTAAGGTGTACCTCATAAGTTCACTAGAAGAGGTTTTGATGCCAAATTCTTCAAGTCAATCATCTCGACCTTAAGATATACGGAAATGAGAAAAAATTGATTTCAAGTCTTGAAAATAATGCATTTTGTAATATATTTTTGGACGGTCAATTTTTAAGATTTTCAAGTGTTCATAGATCTGCCCGATCTAAACTATTTTTGAAACTTTAAATTTTATAACTTGTGATGAAATTAAATTTCAAGCTAATCACAAAAGATTTCCAGTAGTGAAACAACACATTTTAATACTATTTGAAGGTGTACTTTACTTTGATTATTTAGAGCCGCTGCCTTATAAAAACGACACCCTTGTCAAAATATCAGTGAGAAAGAAACTATTTATTGTTTAAATAAACTTTATATAAGGTATCAATTTTATATTATTAAAGAGACACGTCTACCTTAAAATCTTTTTTGACTTGAGTGCTCAAGATATATGGATGTGAAAAATAAATAAATTTTAAGTCGTAAAAATAGTTTATTTTTAGAATTTTTCAGTGTACTATTTTAGGAATTTTGAATTTTATAGTTGGGGATGATTTTCAAGCCATTATAGGTCTTATGTCCTTGGAACTACATTTTCAAGCAAAAATTAAAGATGGCCTTTACTTCTACAGAATGAGGTAACTTATTTAGACCTCACCATGACTCTTTGGCCTATTTGCAACTTTTCGAAATTAAGACCATGTATAGTTTTATAGGCATTTTGAAATTAATTATAAGATGTAAGTTAAGAGTTAAATTATTCATCTCTTATAAATAATTTGTTAAATTTGGCCTTTTCTTTTAAAATTCATATGGCCATTATATATTCAACATGAACCATGAGTAGCATGGTTTCCATCACAGGCAAAGAGTATGTGGATTATGCGTTCAATGTTTAGGACCTGACCTGTCACCCGGTCATAAAAAGGCTAAGGTTTGGGCCACAAAATGAGGAGAAAAAAGGACGGGGCCAGGGCCTAATTGGGCCACCATAGAGGCCAAGCCCGGCCTTACCTTTGGACTGTGATGGCCCAACACTGGGGCCGGCCTTCCGGCTACACTTTATAACTCATGCCCTAGTCTTTTTGAGCCAGGAAGATTCGATAAGGCTGACTCGGGCCACCTGGCCGATCTCCAACTATTCCATATTTAACATATTTCCCAAATGGAAAATTTCATAAATTTATGTCCTTTTTGGTATTTAAAAATGTCTCCTATATTTAAAATTTATGGTCAATGTTTTGCACGTTTATTAAAAGGATTTTTCTATAAATGCACATCCGTTTTTCGTATTTAAGAAATGTGTTCTATATTTTAAATTTTACATTTGGTCTTTTCTTTTTCTTTTTTTCCGTTGAACCTACTTAATATTACTCCAGATTTTCTTTCCTTTTGTCAGTCTTTGGATCGGAACTCCAAATTCTGACTTGAACTCAATCTTAGGATCGGAACTCCCAAGTTCTGACTTGGAACTTCGGCGTCCGAATGTGAAGTTCCAATTTGATCTTTCACACAAAAAAAAAGAAGTGTTTTTTAAGATATGTGTCACTGACCAGGTTATTAAGCAAAATATTGGCATATAAAATCAGGTTGGAAGTTTGAAATCCAACTGAGTCATTAAAAAAGAAATACAACCTGTACAGTACCACCTTGTACCAAATCATTGTGTACTTTTCCTAATAAAAAAATTGGTGTTTTTTACCCTGTTTTATTTCAAAAAAGTTGTGCAAGAAAACAGGTCTGAAGTTGGAGATCGACCTAGTCATTCAAAAGAATTACAAGTTTTTAAGATTAGTTTGGAACTCCATGTTTCGACCCGGTTTTTTTCACAAAAGTTTCGGGGTCGGTTCTTGGAGTTCTGACCTAAAAACCAGGGGAAAAAAGAAAATTACTGGTGACCTTTATTTTGTTAATAAGTTGAGCCAATTATGCTTTATTTTGTTAATAAGTAGAGCCAATTAGGTTTAAATATCACAATTAAGATACTTGGTTAGTTGAATGACAGTTGCAGGGTACGTAAAGATGCAATTGCAAGAATTCCATGAATTCGTTTATATTTCAATTTCGCTATGATGTTTGTAGAGCATGGTTTAGCAGACCAGCTTTCTAACGGGTCTGCCTGCCTGCCTGCCTGCCTGCCTGTTCAATTAAAACTCAGCCCAGTTATTCTGACTTGGCCCTTGCGAGCAAACTACATGGGTAAATTTGGGGTAATTAAAAATTAAAAATTAAAAATTAAAAATAAAAAATTGAAAGTCAAAAAATAAAAAATAAAAAATAAAAAATAAAAATTAAAAATTAAAAATATAAAACTTTGTGTTATTTTACAAAGGAAAAAGTTTATATAGAGCTGAGGCTCTAAACAATCAAATTAGAGCCCACATAAAAAATTTCACTAGAAGAAATTGTTTTGATGCCTATATATCATCAAATTGATCATCTTCACATCAAGATGTATGGACAGGAGAAAAAAAAAATTGATTTCAAGTTTTGAAAATAGTGCATATTGTGATGCATATTTGGACCATCAATTTTTTCAAATTTTCTAGTTTTCATAGAATCTACAGTATTTTTAAAGTTTATAATTTTGTAATTAAAGATGAAAAAATATTTAAGGCTATCACAAAGATTTCCAACATTAAAACCATATTTCTAGACACTATTTCAAGGTAGGCCCTAATTTGATTGTTTAGAGCCTCGGCTCTATACAAACTGCACCGTTTTATTAAATCAATGTATAAATATTTTGATATGTAATTTGGATAATTTTTTATTATAATTTGTGATTTTTTCTTATCATATGCCCTATTTTTATATTTTTCTCTTTTAAAATCTTTCTAAAATGTTTGCAGCCAATTTTTTCTAAGTCCATGCTTTATAGTTATTTTATTTTTTAGGATGTTTTTATTTCATCTTAGTTTCACTATTTTTATTTTTATTTTAAGAATTTTTTATTTTTAATTTTATTTTTTATTTTTAAGGTGTTTTTTTTGCCATATACACAAACTCAGGCATGTCCACTTGGACGCACCTGAGTTACTCGGCTCAGGCAGGACCCGAATCCGGAGCCCATGCTAAGAGTTCCTCAACATCGATTTTGAGATTTGTAGGGCCAGGTTAGAGCAGTATGCTAAATCAATATCTTCCAAATTATTTTAATTTGTAAAGAGAGAATGGTGTTCATTAGATGACATGATTTAAGTCAAATATATGACATCAAATAAACAAAGAATGGGGAATCTGTCCACAAAAGTTGAAGGAAGTAGTGCACATGACTCCAAGATAAAGGGCATTGTCTATTGGTGAAATCCCATTACTCAAAAGTCTATATACTTTTCCTTTTTCTTCAGTGACAGCTGATGAGGTGGGTTCATCTTTTTAAGAGATGCATTACCATTACTTCTCTCTCTTCCCCATTATCTCTCTCTCTCTTTCTCTCTCTAAAAAAGATGTCTCTCTCTCTCTCTCCTTTTGTTGGTGATGGGCTCCCACTTCTACTCTTTAATCCTCTTTCATTGTCACCATCCTCATGAGTCATGACCACTGTTCATCTTGTGTCATTGGTTTCTTTATACTTTTCCCAAACCATCCATTCATAACCACAAGAAGAAGACCAAACATTGATACTGGGTTGGG